AAAAAAACAAATGAGTGTACACACTTTACTATTGCCTAGACTCAACTTTGGTGGTCAATAAAATCCGCTCTCAATGGTGGGCTCCTTTGCAAGATTGGTCCGTTGTTCAACGACTGTCCGATGTACCGCATTCCATTCCACATTTGATAATAACGCTTCAACTTGATTAAAAATAGAGTTATAAAAATTGTAGCGTAAAAATAAACTTTAATCGTAAAAGTTATTCTTCTTATAAGTAAAAATTATTCTTGGTCACCTTGATTTTCTCGATTTATTTAAATTTATTCCAAATCATCAATTCGGCTTCAGAAAGCATCATTCAACTGTTCCACAATATCATCGATTGGTAGATTATATTTCCAATTCTTTAGAATTCCAAAATTATTGCCCTGGAGTTTTGCTGGACATTAGTCAAGCCTTTGATAAAGTTTGGCATGAAGGATTGCTTTCCAAACTTAATATTTTACTTCCTTTGACCTACTATCTAATATTACTTTCATATCTAATAATATTATTTCATTTTGTAGTAAACGTAGGGACAGAGCGGTCTGACATTAAACCTATGAAAGCAGGAGTACCTCAGGGTAGTGTCCTTGGACCAATATTATTTAATATATATATGTCTGACCTACCGGAACACAATGACACATTACTGGCTACTTTTGCAGGTGAAACAGCAATCCTAAGCTCAAATAAAAACCCTGTTCGAGCATCTACCACTCTTCAAAATCATCTGAACGATATTGCAGATTGGGCCACAAGATGGAAAATTAAGATGAATGAAAAAAAAGTGTGCATGTAGTATTCACTCTTAACCATAAACCTTCACCTGAAATATATTTTAATAACATTAAAATTCCAACATCAGACGTAATTAGGTATTTAGGTTTTTACCTGGACAAAAGACTTACTTGGAGGACTCACGTCAGACAAAAACGAATAGAACTAAACAGACGATACGGTCTTTTATCCAGATAACTTGACAGACGTTCAAATTATCATTAACTAACAAACTGACCCTTTATAAAGTTTTACTTAAACCTATTTGGACTTACGGCATAGAACTGTGGGGTTCTGCTAAAACTTCTAACATTAAAAAAGTTCAGTCCTTTCAGTCAAAAGTGTTGCGAAGAATAGTTGACGCACCGTTTTATGTCGCAAATGATGCACTACATAAAGACTTAAACGTACCTACAATTTTAGATACTGCAAAAGAGAAATACAATAACTTTCACCAAAGACTGACGTACAACATGAATCCCCTGACAGAAATCCTTCATCGTACAATAAACCCGTACAGCCCACCACGACGATTACGCAGGCGTTGGCCAAGAGACCTGCTGATCTGATTTATATCCCGGACGTGATGGGAAGCTGCGAATCTTACAAAAAATTTGCTCATTGCAAAAAAATTTGCAGATTGCAAATTTAATCAAATGTTCTACATTTTTGTTTCGTTGATAAATAAATAATCGTAAAAGAAACCTTACGGCAAACGACATAGCCTTATTCAAATGTAATATTAAAGAAAAGAATTTATTAAAAAATAAACTAAACTGAAATCGTTGAAAAACTGATTTCTAAAAGGAATAAGGAACGTAAACGGTGATAATTATTAGTCAAGGGTGAACTGTTTTAAATTATACCATGTCAAATATTTGAGATGTATCATACTACTTTCCGAATACCCCTCCGTTAGAGCAGTCAGTCAGTCAGTAATTAGCCATCATTAGAGTTATCATTATCTAGTTAGTAGTGTAGTAGTAATTTATGTAACTGTTTGTTTATCAATTTTCAAAGTTCTTTATCTACCGAAGTGTGAGCAAAAAAAGAAAATAATTGTGCAGTTGATGAAAACGGTGAAGAAGCTATTATAGCCTTACTTTGTACACATTTTTGAAGCGAAAACTTCTTTGGTCGCGTTTTTCATCTTTTTTTTTGAGAGTTGATTAGATTGAGCTGCATTTTTTTATTCTAAGCTCAAATTCGACAATTAATGTTGTGTATCTATAGTTACCAATTCACGATCCTATGTATCGAGTTGACAAATAAGTCCTTTTGGTTTTTCAGGGTGAAATAAAACTGAATGTATTATAGAAATAAAATTTTTTATTTATTTATTAGTTGTACATATTTGTGGCTCACAATAAATTTGCCATCTACCTTAGTATTCAGCAAATATGATTTCAAGGAGAAGAATAACAAGACAAAAAAAAAGAACAAAAAAAAAAAGTAGTAAGATAACACATACATTATAACATAATAACAAATGCACACACAAAAAAGATAACGCAGCAAGTAGCTCAATGCAATAAGTCTCTTGGCCAGCGCCTCAGCAGTCTTCTGGGCGGATTATATGGATTTGTAGCAGTAGATAGAGCTCGAGTAAGTGGATTGGAATTTAGAATCAGTCTGTCATGAAAATTATTAAAGCGGTCAGTGGCAGTTGCCGTGATGAAAGGAGTGTTAAGGTCAGTGTGTAACGTGAGATTTGAAACGTAAAAGGGTGCGTCTACAATTTTCCGAAGGACTTGTGACTGGAATGACTGAATGATTTTTATATTTGATTTCTTTGCTGTTCCCCATAGTTCGATCCCATATGTCCATAGTGGTTTAATGAGGACTTTGTAAATAGTTAATTTATTAGTCACAGATAATTTTTAACGTCAGTCAAGTAGCCTAGAAAGAAGTCCGTATCGCTGATTAAGTTCTATTCTTTTTTGTTTTATGTGGTATTTCCATGTCAATCGTTTGTCCAAGTGGAGACCTAAATATCGTACAGTTTTTGAAGGTGTTAGAGCAATATTATTAAAGAACACTGGAGGACAAGAGTTATGTTTAAGTGTAAATGAAACAAATTGACTCTTAGATTCGTTCATTTTTATTCTCCACCTTTTAGCCCAACAAGCTATGTCGTCTAGGTGTTCTTGAAGTACCTGAGAAGCCTTTGCTGCATCCTTGTTAGATGTTAATATTGCCGAGTCATCAGCAAATGTAGCCAACAGTGTTTCAGAATGTTGTGGGATGTCTGCACAGTAAATGTTGAAAAGTGTTGGGCCCAAGACACCGCCTTGAGGTACTCCAGCTTTTATTTGTTTGATGACAGAAAACTCAGTCCCCATTTTCACACGGAAAAATCTATCTTTTAGATATGATAGTAAAATTAAGTAATAAGTTGGAGGAATGATTGTTTTTGATTTGTGTAACAAACCATCGTGCCATATTCTATCAAAAGCCTGACTCATGTCAAGAAAAACGCCAGGACAGTACAATTTTGATTCTAGCGAGAAAGATATGTAATCTATAAGGCGGTAACATTGCTGAATAGTCGAATGATGCTCTTTGAATCCGTACTGGAAATTTGGAATGACATCAAATAGTCTAAGTGAATTCAAACGCCGAAACAGAATTTTTTCGAATACTTTAGATAGAGAAGGTAGAAGACTAATTGGGCGATAAGAATCAGGGCGGAATAACATTTATTTCTATCTACAATATATTGACCATTATTTAATATGCTCATCTTTCCACTAACTGCATAATGTGATGTTCATAGAATGTCTGGATTTTATGGTTAAAAAACAGATTTAAGTGGTTTTTGTTGTCCTCTTCCTTTTGGAATTTCTTTACATTCATGGAGTTCTGCAGAGACCGGAACAAGTAATAGTCACTTGGAACTAGATCTGGTGAATAGGTAGGGTGGGGCAAAAGGTCCTATCCAAGGCTCAATAATTTATTGCGAGTGACTAATGAGGTGTGGAGCCTAGCGTTGTCTGGATGGAATTCGATGTTACTATATCCGTTGGAAAGCTGAATTGTTGCTCTTCAGTGCCGTATGATTTTTTTTTTTTACTTAATGCCTATATAAGAAATAAATAAACAAATTCTCCTTATAAGTTTTTATTTTTTATCTCCACTGCATTTGTTTGCTTACGAAGGTCCTGTTGACATCATTTTTTTTTAAATTTGTGTGGCTATAAATTCCTGCTAAATTTCTTGTAGATAGCTAAAGTCATATTTCAGTTATAACATTTTTTTGTGATTTTCAAAAAAAAAATCATGTGAGGGACCCAAGCATTAAGCCTAGACACATTTCTAGAAGGTTTTCTACGCTTGTATGCGACACATTTAGGGTCATACCAATCTCTCGCACTGATTGCATGGGTTTTCATTAACAATGGCCTTGCTCGTTTCAATTTCATGTGGGTGACCAGACCTTTTTTCTTTTATACAAATACAAATGATGTATGAATGATATTTTTTTCCATATTCGCAGTACAATAACAAACACAATATTAAGCCAGTTTCAACAAGAATTAACAGATAAATAGTTGTTGACGTATTACAAACAGGATAAACAATACACTTTATATCAGGATATATTCATCAGATAAGAAGTGTATCATATTGACATAAAAAGAAACAGAAAAATCGAAAGGACTTATTTGCCAACCCAACAAATTGAAATTCTGTTAATTCCTTTTTACGACTTTGAAACGAACACTATATTTTAAATATTAACGTTAATTTACATTCCGAATCCTTTTCATAAAATTAAGTTTTTAAAAGGTATAAATTTTATGATCAAAAGATTAAATTAGTTCTTTATTTTATGCATTTGTTAAATGCATTCTTTTGAAACTAATTGTTTTACTATAACTTCAAGATATGGTTGTTGAAATCTGTACCATATCTTGTAATTTGTAAAAATGATTATTTCCCAGCTATTATCGAGGAACCACATTTCTTTTAATGTATTCACATTATCATTGAGTTCGGCCATTATTGTAAAAACAAAAAATATCCCTTTACTGCAATGACATGCTTTCGCAAGATAAGACGCTGAATTTGCTATAATATCGCTTGAATCTGATAATGCTTAATTGATCAATTCCGTTAGGAGTAATGTCAATATTTCTCGGTAATGTAACCATTCTTTACATCGTTAGCGATAGTGCATCAACATAAATACCATCTCAACATAGATTTGTGCTCACACACCGGAATGGATCCAGTTTCTCAGCTTGTAGTGTATCTCTGTATTGCTGGTAATAATCTATTTACATCCACTTATAAACATAGTTGTACGATTTATATGATATATAATATATATTATATGGATAGCTAAGACCTTTTTTATCCAGATTTTTTATTTTATTTAAATTAGTAATATTTCAAATTAAACCAGTCATTAAAGTACTTATAATGTCTGATCTATTCGAACTATAATAATTTAAACTTAAACCAAAATCATAATTGTGTTTGGATTTTTTTCATACTAGGGAAGGATATGGAAGTAGTTACAATATCATTAATTTTTTTTTTTTTTTGGTCAACAAATATGAAACCCATGACCAAGGCCCTTGCACAAGAGAAGCCCGGAAAAAAGTATAAAATTTACACATTATTGTTTTCTTTATTTATTGCTAGGTTTTAAAACGCCAACCAGTTTGTCGTTTTAGAACTTGGCAATATATTTTTTTTTTCGGATAAAGATATTATTGACTCTATTGAAACGTATAACTAAAATGCAATAACATAAACAAAATAAAATAACGTTTCCAGTAATGTAGGCTAAGTAAATATTTGTCATGAAAATCGATAGATCTTCATTTCTAATTCTTTTTTAAATTAAAAGAAACAATAGGGGGCTTTTTCTTTTTTTTTTTTTTTTTGTTAAACATTTTAATAAAGCATTCCTTACTCATTATTATTTTCTCAAAATTCAATGCTACTAGAACCGTAAGATGCAGAATTATTATTCTTGAAAACCACATCAATATTAATTTAAGTCACATTAATATTATTATTAAGTTAGATAAACATGAATTAACATACATAAAACAGTTTGTTTAATTATGTTTCTAGGAAACATTGGGTCAACCTTGGCCAATGAAATACCAATGAGAAAGAACCAGGAGTTGCAACCACCGCTGGGAGGATCAGAAACGGTACCTTCATCACAGAGGCTGAGTGTGCCACGCCTCAATCGGACAGTATTAGACGATCCACAGACGTCACTCATCAATTTACCAAACGGGCAACCTGGAAAAGAATTACATGGGCACCGCTACCGTAGAAGTCATAAATATATACCAAGAAATGTTAACTATCATAAAAGAAGAGCTCGTGCTTCTGATTATCCCGATGCAAACGATGGTTCAACCAAACCAAAACCTCGAGTATACGGCATTTCTGGTTCTAACATACGCATTTACCATGGAAAACAAGAAGAAAATAAGTCACCAGAATTTGGCCAATCATACAGAAGTCCGAGAAATAAAAAACACAAAAAACGCCCGAGATTCCAAAACCATGGCCGATACAATGAAGAATCAGAATACGAATACGACAATGAGAGGAGGGCCTCCAGGCGTCAAGGTCCACGCCATGACTCCATGGGCTGGAGTATCAATTCCAAACCAAATGATTATTGAAAAACTAAGAAGAGTACCAAATACTACACTCCCATAAGGTAGTTGTATTTTTACAATAAAGTAAATTGTATTTTATGATAAATAATCTTAATTTGGTTTTTGATTTTTAGTAGGATTTTGATTGAATTATTACACTTAATCGATTTATGATTAAGATTTTATAAAGACCACATTACTCCTACAATTTTATTTCACCAATAAAAAGTCTTTTTAAGATGTCTTTATTTCGTTTTTATTATGACCTTTCGGCTTTAATCGAATTTTCAAATATTTTTAAATTATCACAATTACATTGTCATTTATTTATCATGATAAAACCAGGTTTCCTTATCATTGTCTTTGTTGGTTGGTTTCAAATAAACTCGATCACATTCACTACAAAAAGTGAATTTTAAAACCAATTAATTTTAAAATTGTAGAAACAATAAATAAAAATTTACAATTAAAAAAAATTGACTAGCAAATAAAATAATAACAAGGAAAGCCATTTTTCCAAGATAAATAAATGGCAAAATAATTGTGATAAATAGTGAAATGAAAACAATTGAATGTATAATATTACCATAACAATTACTACCATGGTCCAGTATACTTTATAGTCTTTGAATGATATTTTATGACTCCTTACTTTACAATATTCGAAAATGAAAATTAAGTGGAAAGGTCTAAATAAATATGAAATAAAATCATTTTGTTGAAACTATTTTTTATTAAAGAAATAAAATTGTCGGAGTAATGTGGTCTTTATAAAATCTTAATCGGTTATTGATTAAGTTTAATATTTAAAAAAAATGTTTTAAATAAACTGAATGAAAACCTTTTTCTTCATTGCGCCTTTATCAAACTGCTTTATAAAATGAGAATATTTACTATTCTATTTTTAGTGCAATACAAATTATTGTGAGGGCTTATTGTCCGTATATTGTTTAATTATTTATATTAAGACTCAGTACAAAATTCAATTTGAAATATGAAATTATCCAGGTTAATAAATTGTCAAAAATTTCAGTCTAAATTTGTTTATTCTGGTTGCCAACGTTTTGACACCCTTAAGGCTAAAATAAAAAATAAAATAATCCATCCTATCGGAAAGTACTTTCAACTTTACTTAAATGCCTCGGTAGAGTTTAAGGAAAATTTACTTCTACGTTTATTTTAACTTAGTTTAAAATAAATAAACTTAGTTTAAAATGCATCTGTACACAGGCATCTGTACAATATCTAAAGATAGGCGCCCGACTACTGCACCAAGTTTTACTATTCCTAGATGTGAATTTCCCTAACAGTATACAAAGGTGTTTAAGTCGATATGGAAGGACATTGCTTTAGGATGGACAAAATTTCCCAGTTTCTACAGTCGGTTTTTAAATTCTCTTTTTTTGTTTCATATTAAACTTTTTAGTTTTTTACATATTGACAATTTTATTCGATGTATGTAATATCTGTACCCAGGATGTAAACAACACCGTGTTATACAGCCCACTAAACAAATAATGGTCATATGCACAGATTCTCTATCCACCCTAATTACTCTAGGAAATGTTTTCTCACCCAATATCATAATACAAAACATTCTGTACTCAATAAAGTCCGCATATAGAAATAATATATCAGTAATTTTTGTCTTGGTATCTGGGTATTGCGTAATAGCCGGTAATGAACTGGCTAATCGAGCTGCCAAAAAAATCCATTACTGATGGAATACCTGTAGAGGATTTTATAACCGCCATCAAACAGAAAATGAAGACAAATGGGAACAGATATGCTCGAATGTAACCGAAAATAAATTGAGGGCGGTTAAGGGTGTCGTTTCTTATTGGGCATCGTCAAATAGGAGTAACCGCAGAGAGGAAGTAATTCTTGCGCGCCTGCGTATAGGTCATACACGCCTTACCCATGGATACCTGATGGCTCGTGATTCTTCGCCAACATGCCAAACCTGTGGGACTCCTCTGACAGTGAAACACATTTTAACAGAATGCAGAGCTTATGAAACATTTAGACTACCTTGTGGCTTGACAAACGATCTACACTTCATTTTACAGGCAATACGAATGAAATTGATAAACTATTTTCTTTTCTAAAATGTTCTAAACTTGAAAATACAATATAATTTTTAATGAAAATAAGGCAATAATGATCCTAGTGGTTGAAGCTTTACAATAAAAAAAAACACCATGTCAATTTTTGTATTTGTTCAAGGAAGCCAATGTTCCATAACTTTGAGATATTAAAATATATATATATATATATATACAGGAGGTAATGGACACTATTGGTAGTATTTATTAAGGGAGCCAATTGCTTCCAGATAGACCAGGTTAATTTTAAAGAAAAGAGTATTTAAGTATTCGGGGCAAACTGAACTGTAGTTCAAACCTGTAAGGTCGTTGGTTGAATCCAGCGGGAGGAGTACTGTCCCCACTCCTGTATTGCTTTGTATTTGTTTCTCTTTTAATAAAGCTAAATGTTTGTGGACTCGATACTCATTAGATATGTTGATGATATCGCTGTTTTAACCACGTGGAATTTTTGAATTTCTCAAAGTATCTATAGATTTTCTAAAATGTTGATGCCTGAATATTGAGAAGGCTGTATTGCTAAAATATTGTTTTGGCATCAATAATGATGATAGATCTTAGGGTCTTAATTAACAGATGGAATATAATAACGAAACAGACATGTTTGGACTGGACTCTGGTCAACATATTTAGGGTAGTTACGCATCTATCTCGATTGCAAAATGACTTTTTAAAGGGCTGTGTGTAAGGATTTTAAAACCCTGAATGGTCTTATACAGTAGAATTTAGTATCTTTACTCCAATACACTGTCATAGTATGGTCGAATAATACCACTGCAGACAAAGGAAGTACTTATCCGAAAATTATATATACCTCTGTGCCTTATTATAACTAGAACCACGATCACCAATACCACCGCTGGTATGGAAGTTCTATCGGACTTAATACTATTGCATATAGAAGTAAAAGCACAAGCTGTCAGTAATGCGTTCAGACTTGCAAACTGAGGAACAAGATGCAAATTCCTCATTTATCAGGGACATGGGATTCTGTTTGAAAGGATTAAAAAAATGAAATGCTACTAATGTGCTCTGATTTTCAATTCAAGGAATGTGGATATATACTATTTTGTAAGGATTGGCCAGACCAACTGTCCCATACTATGGCTATGGCGTTAACTGTAAGAGACCAACAGAATACTGTTTGATAGGCTGGTATATGGAGAGTGGAAAAACCTAAGGAAGGGGATTTCCATATCTTTATATAATTTAAAGTCTTTCAGGCTGAGGTATTAGCAATCAATGTCTATAGCAAAACTCTAATAGAAGAGATAGTGAAGAACAGGCAAATTTCAATATTTCGCATATATATAAGTTGCAATGCATCGAGCTTTGAGGCTCCACTAAACCATCAAATTCCTCTCGTATCCAATGCCTACAATCCAAATTCCTTCGTAAACTCCTCAATGCTCCCTACTTTGTCACAAATAAAATCATCCATAACGACCTTAATGTACCATATGTTTCCAATTCAGCTCAATCCAGATACCTATCCTTCCATAGTAAACTTCTGAACCATCCGTACCCTTTTGTTTCCAACCTTACTTCCTCTTCTATTGCTGATAATCCTCCGAGGCATATGAAAAGAAGATGGCCTCGGGACTTTCTAATATAGAAATATAATTGGAGTGCTACCAATGGGTAGTTTCTCTTCATGTTGAACATGTCATTTTACTTGTTTATTTATTATTTACATATTTATTTGTTGTATTTATCATTTAATATATATAAATAAAATAAAGATTTTGTCTGTACATTGAATAGAATCAACCCGTTTTATGATATCTTTCCGTTTCATACATTGCAGACACCAAATCCACTTTTAAACAATTTTTTGTCTGTCTGTTTGTCCGCATTGCAACGAAATTTTGTCAGGGGTAAGCTCAACAATGGCTTATTGCAGAATTTTGAAACTTTGACATTATATTAAGGTTTGCTTGACTTAGAACATAGGCTTTAAATGAAAACAAAATATTGAGTAGAAATAAAGTTATGAATTCTTTAGTAATTTGTCTGAAGATCTCGGTTAATGGTGATAATAAATGTTAATAATAAACATATGTATATAGGTTAAAGAGCATCTATGTAAATAAAATAAAGGTTTAGTTGATGTTGAATAAATAAAGGTTCTGTTTGTTTAACATTGAATAGAATCAACCCGTTTTATTATATCGTTCCGTTTTATACATTACAGACACCAAATCGACTTTTAAAAAAAGTCTGGATGTCCGCATTGTCCAACGAAATTTGATAGGGGCAAACTCGGCAATGGCTAATGGTAGACTTTTGAAATTTTGACTTTATATTTCTCCTGGTGGAATCTGTCCACTAGGGAGCGCGTCCCCCGGGTGGCGGATGGGGGATCCCTCTTAGGAGGGTCGGTCTGAATACACAGAATAAAGACCCGTGGACCAACAGGTACCCAGTGCTGGGGGGTATAGCCCGGCCACCCTTTCTCCTGGGGGGACACGTTGACAGGAAAAGAGGTTGAGCTTGTGGAAGAGATGAAGACATATAAGGTGGACATACTTGGGATCAGCGAGGTAAAGAAGAAAGGAGTCGGTGAAATAAAACTGGACAGTGATTACGCCCTTATATATGCTGGAGTTCCTCAAGGAAACTTCGCGAAGAAAGAGGTAGGTATAATTATGACTCCATCAGTGTATAAACAAAGAAGACTGGGAGCCTATCTCACCAAGAATAATTGCTGCAAATTTTGTGTTGGCCATTGGGAAAGTTACTTTGGTGCAGGTATACGCCCCAACGGAGGATGCAGGAGTCATGGATAAGGAAGCGTTCTATTCTGACTTGCAAGGATTGCTCAACAAAATAAAGTTGAAAGGACGATTCGCAATACTGAGTGGAGATTTCAATGCCAGAACAGGTTGTGATCCTTCTCCCACTTATGGTGCCCTCGGACTCCATGGAGGGGAAACTGTAAGAAATGAAAATGGACAACGCCTTATTGACTTCTGCATAGATAATGATTTACTGGTGGGAAATTCCTTCTTTCCCCACAGAATAATACACAAAATAACTTTCTCGAGCCTGAAAAGAAACAGTATTATAGACTATTTCGTATACGACCGTGCCATAAGAAACTATTTTTCCGATATAAATGTCATAGGAGGCTCTGAAATTGGCAGCGATCATCTGATGCTAATAGCCGATACCAAAATTCCACATAAACGGCCAATTAAACAAAAGAGCTACCAGGCAGTCACCATAAGATCTCTAGACGATCCAGAAAAGAGAACCTCCTATACCGAAAAACTGGAAGGAAAATTAAGAACCATGAGCAGAAAGGGTGATGTAGAATAACAGTGGAGCTGCTTAAAATCATGCATCTTGGAAACTGCAAGGGAAGTTTGCGGCTTGCGCAAAATATCTAATAAACAAAAGCGCACAGAGTGGTGGAATGAGGAAGTGCGATGTTTAGTTCAATCAAAGAAGAAAACGTGGAAAGCTTATCTTCAAGAGAAAACTACCGGAAAACTATGCGAATACCACCAAGCCAGAAATCAATGCAAAATAGCAGTCCGACAAGCGAAAAGAGAGTCATGGGAAAGATTTGGAAAAAGTCTCGATGAAGATCACCGGGAAAGTATTAAGAAGTTCTGGCGTAAAGTAAAGCTATTAAGAGGAAAAATAAGTAAGCCAGTGAGAAATGTCAAAGACTCTAGTGGCAACATGGTCACCGAAG